GCACTCCCAGCACAGTTTGGACACTGAGACTTTTCCCTGCCCTTCCCAGGCAGACCTCGGACCCCCTCTTATCTCCTCCCTCCTCCATCCCAGAAGGGACAACAGAGAAATTAGCGCTTTTCAGCTAATTCCTAATGGAGGTAGTTCTGAGCAGAGCCCACCTCCCTGCTCCCAACGTACCAGAGGGCGTAGGGGTAATGCATAGCCCACATGTCTGTTGGTGCAAGGGGCACCGGTGACACGAGACTGCCATATGCTCTCAGCAGCCCCTCACACACTTCTCCCTTGCACACCCCTGCAGCACGCATCCCCAGGCACACTGCCGCAGCCCCCTTCCCACCCTTGGGGTCTGGCCAGGACAAACTGGAGGGACAAAAGGGGGCAAACCTGGCTGAGCCCTCCCTGGTTCCTCCTTTCCCAGCATCCTAGAGCATTGTGGGCTGCAGCTTCACGCTGCAAGGTTGGGGTCAGCCATAGAGCATGGGGTCAGCCATCCATTGTCGTCACCTCCCTCGTGGCAGAAACACTCACTCAAAACCCAGCTGAGGGCAGCTGGGTCCTGGTAGACAAATGGGACTCCCCAGGGCAGCCCCCCCTCAGTTTGGTACCTGCCATAGGTCCTGCCTCCCAGTCTGCAGCCTCCCAGCACAGCAGCACTTGTCCCAGAGAGCCACACTGGGGTCCTCGGGGCTGAGCCACGCTCTGCTGCAGACCTGATTCATCTGGGACGTGTCCTGCTGGCTGCTTGGCAGCCTGTTGGATTTGCCATAGCCAAACCCCACTACCTCTCATCCTGCCTCATCAATGATGCCCAGTAGCTCCAGTAGCCTGGCACGGCGCCAAGGTGCACCCCATCCCACTGGCTTATGCTCCCCATTCCCCCGAGCTGCAGGGCCAGAGCCAGTCCCTGCTGTCCAGCAGCTCCCTCCAGGACCAGGGATGCAGGGGGACAGGAGAGGGGGTGAGGAAGAGGACAGATCTGAGTAGCCATGAGCTGCTCCAAGGGCCCTCGGCCTTGCTCCGACAGCATTTCGTATGAAGAATTAAACAGAAATTGCAGGGAGCCATGTCTGACCCGACCACTGGTGCATGGCAAGGAAGCACGGAGCACAGCTGCAGAGGGACATGCGGGATGGGGACCACCATGGGGACATGCATGTTGGAGCCCTGAGCGCCTACCTGGATGCCGCGATCTCTGACTTCTGCCGGGCGATGGCCGCGGCCCTCTGAGCCCCCTCCACGCTCCTGTCCACCTTCTGTCGGATCTTGGCGCTCTTGAGGGGTATCACGCGCTTCTTCATGCCCTTGACGAGGACGTTGTGGCGGTACTTGCCCTCCTCCTT